CGCCATGCTGGGGGACTGGGCAGCAGGCTCTCCCTCCCTGGGGGGGCTCTGGGCTGGAGCTTGCCATGGATCTCCCGTGGGGGCTCTGGGCTGGGAGTCACTGGGGGGGGCGCTCTCGCACAGGTACAACGCCTACCGCACCCCAGGCTTCCCGCAGTTCCGCACCCAGTACATCCGGCGGCGCAGCCAGCTGCTGCGGGAGAACGCCAAGGCCGGGCACGACTCCGGTGCCCGCAAGCTGTACCTGCGCCTGCGCGCCCAGCTCCTCGCCCAGCGCTACGGGCCCCTCTCCGAGCAGAGCAGCTTCCGCGCCTACAGCAATAGCATCGTCCGCACGGTGCCCGCAAGCTGTACCTGCGCCTGCGCGCCCAGCTCCTCGCCCAGCGCTACGGGCCCCTCTCCGAGCAGAGCAGCTTCCGCGCCTACAGCAATAGCATCGTCCGCAGCAGCCGCACCACGCTAGACCGCATGGAGGTACGGGAGAGGGGCAGCGGGGACACAACCATAAGTAATGTTGCACAGGGAGTGTTTGCCAGACACTGAGATGCAGCCACCTCTGGGGTAGAGCAGCTGGAGAACAGCCACGTATAACGCTGCCAGGGTATGGCTCGCCAGGCGCTGAGATGCAGCCACCTCTGGGGCAGGGCAGCTGGAGAACAGCCACGTATAACGCTGCCAGGGTATGGCTCGCCAGGCGCTGAGATGCAGCCACCTCTGGGGCAGGGCAGCTGGAGAACAGCCACGTATAACGCTGCCAGGGTATGGCTCGCCAGGCGCTGAGATGCAGCCACCTCTGGGGCAGGGCAGCTGGAGAACAGCCACGTATAACGCTGCCAGGGTATGGCTCGCCAGGCGCTGAGATGCAGCCACCTCTGGGGCAGGGCAGCTGGAGAACAGCCACGTATAACGCTGCCAGGGTATGGCTCGCCAGGCGCTGAGATGCAGCCACCTCTGGGGCAGGGCAGCTGGAGAACAGCCACGTATAACGCTGCCAGGGTATGGCTCGCCAGGCGCTGAGATGCAGCCACCTCTGGGGCAGGGCAGCTGGAGAACAGCCACGTATAACGCTGCCAGGGTATGGCTCGCCAGGCGCTGAGATGCAGCCACCTCTGGGGCAGGGCAGCTGGAGAACAGCCACGTATAACGCTGCCAGGGTATGGCTCGCCAGGCGCTGAGATGCAGCCACCTCTGGGGCAGGGCAGCTGGAGAACAGCCACGTATAACGCTGCCAGGGTATGGCTCGCCAGGCGCTGAGATGCAGCCACCTCTGGGGCAGGGCAGCTGGAGAACTTCCACTTCAGCCAGGTGGCACCGCAGCCCCGGGTCTGGGCTCAGCGCCCAGCTGCCTGCCTCCCTCTCCCCTCGAGACATCCAGACTCCTGGCTGTCTGCACCCTGATCTCCTGGGGGAGCTCCAGGGCCTGCTCTAGCTCCAGCTCCCAGCCCCCACTCCCGACCCGGGAATTCGGATGTCCGCTCAGGGCTTTGTCACTGAGGAGGCGGGGGGAGGGGTTCTCTGCCAGGACGCAGGGGCTCTCTCTGGCCAGTAATCCCCCCCC